ATTTCAATTATTGTACATTGTATATGTATATAGATCATTGCTATTTAGAAATAAGTACATAGAACAATAAATACAGAAGTAAAGCAAACAATTATCTCTTCTAGTTACAACCTTTGTATTTGGTTGCTGCTTGACGTAGGCTGCTAAGCCTTTTAAAGTTTTGCACTTGGAGGATATTAAATGAAATATTTTTTTTAGGTTTTCTATATACAGTTGAATAACCAAAAAATTATAAATTACTATATCAGTACCATAGAATTCCACCATAACTTATCAAGCTTAGTAACAAAGCTGTATTTTGGTCTAAAAAATATGAAATTTCAAGCACACAAAAGACACAACCTACCTCTTTGAAATCTTGGTTTAAAAGAAAGAGATGGTGTTCTAAGAATTTAAAATGGCTAAGAAAGCCACTATGGGAGACATTCTGAGCTTAGTAGTTCAATAGATTTTTGAATGCGAGTTAACAAACACGATGACAAGGCCTTTGACCCATGACCCGTATGGAAAGGGTTAATTTGTTTTATTGCTAAATGTGAGATTATAGCCCAGATTCTATTCAAAGATTCAAAGTACACTACAAAAGTTGTCAAATATTTTTTGTTTTGCTAGCTAATTTCTCATAGTTATTTTTTTATACTTTTATTCTCAACAAAAGATAATAATTTTAAACTCCACCATTAATTCAGGCCAAGTAAAAAAATACATTTTTAGCATCCCTGCCACTTCCTTTTTTGCAACTGCCTCTCCAATTTCTTTTGCTTATGTTTTTACCTTTTTTGAATTATCATTTTTCAATCATGCAAAGAAACAAAGAGGACTTCTGAATAAAAAATGAGATGAACACAGTTGGTTCATTTTATCCTTTTTTTTTTATTTGTCATACATTCTGTATTGTTTTAATGAAAAAATGAAACAAAGAAGACTTCTATTTAGCATGGACCCTTTCAAAACAAGAAACAATCATGAAAAAAAGGGGTGAAAACTTTCTTTCAAAAAGGTCATTTAAGACAAAAGGACTTCCTCCTTTTTTCCCCCAAAAACTCCAGATGCTAAACATTTTTTTACTTGACTTTATTTCAGTGTCAACTATCCCAACAACTAATTTACAGCCTATATATCAATACTTTTTTTTACATAAATAACAAAGTCCTAAATGGAATCTTGGCAAAATACCATTAGAAACCTAACCATATACTACCTACTTTTATTACATGTATAAGGAGTAACATATTATAAAACATGAATTTCCTGTTTAGAATGTTTTAGTTTTTTGATTCTGTGGTATACTGTCAACTGAATTAGTGAGTATTCATTTTCTTTTAATATTACTGAAATTTCAATTGTACTTTCATTCAAAATACTCTAGCAAAAGTTATAAATATGCAGCTTATAGTTTCTATCATTTTCTATGGGAATTTTGTATAATTTAATGTTTAGGAATTATTTTACTAAGTTTCTGTAAAAAAATACCTTATGAAAACTTTTTCCCCTCCTAAAATTAAAGGGAAACAATAATTTCTATGTTTTTTCTAATATGTATCAATTTGTCTGGGCCCGTTTCAGTATCATGACATATTATGGAATCATCATTAATTTATATTTAGCAATTAGCACTGAAGTTGCTGATTACTTTTGTATTAAAATGTGGTTAAACAGTAAAGTTCTTCACAATCATTACATATATAGTAACAGTGAATTAAAAATCTATAGTTAACTGTACTGATAGTCTTCAGCATTTTTAATTACCTAAACCTATATATATATATATATATATATATATATATATAATAATAGTAGTAGTTATATATATTGTTACACTAATAACTTACCTAACTACGT